AAATTAAAACCAAAAAAAAAAAAAAAAAGAATATTTATTTAATTTTTACTTATTTGTTATTATTTTTCAAATTCTACTAGAGAGAGACAGAGAGAAATAGGGAAAGCGAGAAAGCAAGCCACCAGGTTCAGGACTTGAATCGCAGTCGGCCATGTGGGAGTCCAGCGCCTTAGCCACCATACCACTTATTGGCCCCTTTACTTAATTTTTATTTATTTATTATATTTTTAAATTTGCAGACCTCACATTTTGACACTAATTAGAGCAAGTTTCCACCCTCTTAGTCCTCTTACAGTGGCTTAGCACATGAGCTCTCAGGGCTGATGGGAGGCTCCTCAGGCCATCTCTGCTGCCAAGCGGAGGACTGGGCAGAGGCTGTGCAGGTCCCTAGGCCCCGTGCTGTGCAGGAGGCCGCGGTGTCAGGGCGAACGACCGGGGCGCAGAGAGCACAGGGCGGTGCTGGTGGAGCGGGAGACCTGGGCCTCGGCCTTCCCGGTTAGACACTGTGGGGACGGGGGCGGGACTGGCTGGGCAGAACAGTTTAACGCTGACTTTAAATTGTATCCTAAGAGTAACTTTAACGATTTATGAATTGTCTTCAAATAATAGGGGTGTTGGGTCTATTCTGTTATCTTTTCAGCATTTTCCCTCCTTTCTCTCCTCTAGGCGTCTGGGGGTGGAGATGGGCAAAGTGCAGGTTTACCAGGAACCCAACAGAGGTGAGCTGTCTCGGACGTGCCTGTCGCCTTTCTCTTCTGGGGGACTGTGGCCTGCTCCTGCTCCTGCTCCTGCTCCTGCTCCTCCTGCTGCTGGAAGGAGGCTCAGCTGTCCACGAAGGTTCACGAGCTGCGAGTCAGGCAGGCCCGGCCAGGGGAGAGTGTTTTCGGCTCCCACTAATGCCAACTAGGTATAGCCCTGGCACAGGTCACACATGGGCTTTGGACTCTGGTCCCGAGACCTCGCTCGGTAAGCACTGCAGGCGTAGATGAGCCAGCTGAGTGTCTGAACGGAGCGCAGCCCAGCCGTTGGCCGAGCTCGCGTCCCTGTCAGCAGGAGGGAACCCCGTGTGGCCACCGTTCCCGGTGGTGGCTCTCACCTCCGCCCACGCAGTCCTGTTGGATGCTGGGTTTTGCTGATTGATTTATGTCATTACGTAATCATCTCGAGTTGTAAAAAAAAAAAAAATGTGTGTTATTTAGTCTTTGTCCTTTCTTTAGAAATGGTGGACGTTTGAAATTAATCTAGCAGGAACAGTGGACAGTGTGGGCTTGAGAGCCAAACGCCACACTCTTGGCAAGTTGTTTAACCTTCCTGGACGTAAATACTAGGGGTGTTTCGGGGACTGCGCAGGATAACTCGTGTGCTCACATAGCTCCTGACAGATAGTAGGTCTCAGCGAACACGTGTCCCTTTTCTTCCATGGCACGATTCTGCCAAGTATTTAACTACTTTGAGGCTACATTTTTAAAAAAATAATTATTTATATAAGTTTATTATTATTATTGAATTTGACCATAGAGCGGGAAAGTGAGAAAGCAAACCACCAGGTCTGGGACTCAAACCACGGTCGACTGTGTGGGAGTCCAGTACCTCAAACACCATGCCACCTGCCGGCCCCTGAATAGCTTCTGGGAGGCTCGGATAAAAAGACAATTTGCTGCTCCCCTCTCTCCTCCTCCGTCACTGCCTTTTCTTTCCTGTCCCCCGTGAGCCCCCGTATGGCTTCAGGGGTGAAGCGTACTGAGGAAAGCACAGTGTTTAGAGAAGCTTCTGCCGACTCCTTCGTCTGGAGTCTGGCAGGGAGGGCTGAGGGAAGCCCTAGTGGTGTAAAAGAATCTGGGGTACCAGCAGTTAGTGTAATGGCTATGTCGCTGGACTCCCACGTAGTCGACCGCAGTTCGAGTCCTGTACCCGGTGGCTTAAACTCACACCGGGCGCGTGTGCATGCATGCCCAAGATCCCGAGAGGAGAACAGAGGAGCAGGGAGTGAGGTGTTCCCCGAGGGGTGATTTCTCTGTGTCTGTCTCTCTGTCTCTGTCTGTCTTCCTGGCGAGCACACACGCCCTATAGCAAAAACCTCTCCAAAAAAGAAAAAAAAGACTCCATGATGTGGGGGGTCGGCCACTCTCTAGGTTAGTGAATGAAGGGAGGGAAATGCCATTGGGAAGGAAGGAGAGAACGAACAGAACGGACAGCTGTTACCAGAACTATCACCAGATACTGAAAAACTAGGTCCAAGGATGGAGCCAAGTGTGAGGTCCCGGAGGTCGTGGAGTCAATATATCCATCCGGAGCTCCCTGCCTCTGAAGCTCCTTTCCCTGATGTCACACATTCTTTTGTAAATGTGCATCCTTTTCATCCCTAACTCTTTTTTTGAGAGATTTTTGTTGTAGGGTATGTGCACTCACTGGAGAAACAGACAGAAAGTGAGGCCTCAGCTGCCCACCCATGCCGCTCTTCTCCACCGTCCTCTCAGGATTTGGGCACGCACGCACGTGCGCCCAGCGTGAATTTCAAGCCACTGGGGACAGGGCTCGAACCGTGGTTGACCATGTGGAAGTCCACTGATGTAATTGCTATGCCATCTGCTGGCCCCACTTATGTGTAGTAGTTTTTTAGTTTGCTGTGGTTGCCCGCGCTCGCCGGAGAGAGGGAGAAACTGAGGAATCACCCTGTAGGGAGGGGCCGGCCGTGCTGCAGTCCCTTTTTCATCCTCCTCTCGGGAGTCTAGGCATGCACGCAGATGCATCTTGTGTGTTTTCAAGCCGCCAGGGCTGGGACTCATACTGCACGGTCAGCCGTGTGGGATCTAGCCACCCTAACCACCGTGCCGCCAGCCCGTCCCACGCTTCACCTTCTTCAAGTTTATTTTATTCATGGGGAGCACATGCTTGCATGTGAGTGAGAGCGAGCGAGCGAGAAGCACTTTAAAAAAAAAAAAGAATCATTTATTTAATTTATTATTATTATTATTATTATTATTATTATTATTATTTTGACCAGAGAGAGAGAGAGAAAGGGAGAAAGCAAGTCGCTAGGTCCAGGACTCGAACTGCAGTCGGCCATGTGAGAATCCAGCATCTTGAACCACCATGCCACCCGCCGACCCGAGAAGCACTTTTGGCAGGGCCTCGTCAGGCTGTCCCCCTCCTCTAGCCCTCCTGCCCAGAACATTTCCAGGCCGATCTCCTGATTTGAAGCCGTCATCAGCCCTGAGGCTTTCAGCAGTGCAGTTCAGCCTGCTACTGATGACGCCTGCAGGCTGGGCCTGATGGCAGATGTTCTGAGAGTAGGATACCGGGTCTATTTTTGCTCTCTTAACCTACAGCAGTTCATGCCTAGTATGTTCCCAGTTGATGCTGGGCGAATGGACGGGTTATAATTTCCTGCAAAGACGTGGAGGAGGAGGGATTCAGTGTGGCCACGCCCTATAAGGATGCTTCTCTCTCTCTTCCTGGTGGGCATACGGCCCTCTGGCAATTAAAAAAAAAGAGAGACTATCTCATTCTAGATTTGTCCAGTCATTTCTTTAGTACAGAGAGAGCGAGAAGCACTTTTTCTTTTTTTTAAACTCACACTGGGCGCTTGCGCGTGTGTGTCCAAGATCCCGAGAAGAGAAAGGAGGAGAAGGGATTGCGGGATTTTGGCGTGGCCATCCCCCCTGAGGGGTGATTTCTCACTTCCTGTCTCTGTCTCACTGCTGGTGAACACGAGGGAGGGCGGGAGGGCGAGGAGAGGGCGGTTCCTCCTCAGGGCAGACACGCAGCTCCCTCTGGAGGCCGCCCGGTGACTGGGCGGGTGACTGGGAGCACTTTCTCGCTGATGCCCCAGCCAGAGCCCAGGGAGTCTCCTAACAGCCCCAGTTTCCTTCTTGGTCACACCGGGGCATGGTGCAGGTGCTGTGTGCGTTTGAAAAAATTTGAACCCCCTTGTCTTTTTTCTTCTCCTGCCAGAAACAAGAGTGCAGATTCAAGAGTCTGTCCGGGGAAAGGACGTTTTCATCATCCAGACCGTTTCCAAGTGAGTCGCCGTCCAGCAGTGTGTTGCTGTCTAGGCTTGTTTGAGCGGGAGTGCTTCGAATAATACGAGGGGACTTCATAAAGTTCGTGGAGGGAGAAATTAAAATAGCCGTTTATTTTGGTGGGAAACAAATGGAATCCACCCACACTTTTCATAATGCACACTGCGCACGATCTTTTCCGAAGCCCCCTTTAAGAGGCGACTAGACGGGAAGAATGATGGTCATCTTGAAAGTGGGGTATTGGGCCGGCCCCATGGCCAGCGGTTAAAGGGCTGGATCCCTCACCCGAGCTGTGCTTCAAGTCTCAGCCCTGGTGGCTTGAAACACATGCTGTTCATATGTTCATGTGCGCCCCACATCCTGACAAGAAGGAGAGGCGGGGTGGCCACACCCCACTGGGACGGCGTGTGCTGCCTTTCTCCTTGCCCCTCTCTGGCACGCGCATGCACCCTCTGTCAGCGAGCACACTTAGGAGTGCTGGAGCTTGGCCAGCCACGGTGGCGCAGTTACTGCGGTGCTCCACGGTACTGAGGCCACCTGGGCAGGTCCGGGGTTCACGTCCTCGGGTCTCCTTGTGCACACAAGTGTATACCCATGATCCCAACTAGGGGGACCATGTCATGAAGGCCTGGTTGGAGGTGCCCGTCTCCTGCTGTCTCTCCATGAAGAAATAAATAAGTGAGCCGAGGAAAAAAGCCTGACATACTGCCGACTTGTGCTCTTTCTGTGTTCTTGTGGGGTGGGAGTAGCCAAGTGTTAACGTAGAGGCCCCAATGAGCATAGAGCCCACTGTGTTTCCCAACCACCGACAACTGGGGTTCTCTGACACTGGCACGGAAGCACTTCTAGTCCCTCCCTCTCCCTGCCAAAAAGGGGGCAGGGTTGGGCCAGCTAGTGGCACGGTGGTCAGGGAGGCTGGATGCCACATGCCAACTATGTGGCATGGAAAACATACAAGGTGTGTGTGCGTGCGTGCCCACAACCCCGAGAGGAGAATGGAGAAGGGATTACAGCGTGGCCATCGCCCCTGGGGTGGGCTCTCTCACCTTCTCATGACTGCATATGCCCTATGGCAGGTTCTTAAAAAAATTAAAAAATAGTGATGGCCACTCGTTTTTTGGGTTTTTTTTTGCATAAGTTAAATGAGTTGAGAAGATAAAAGACTGTACCAAAGGCATGTGTGTTCCCGTCTCATAAGTTAAATGAGTTGAGAAGATAAAAGATTTTACCAAAGACATGTGTGTTCCCGTTTGATGTGACATTTGACATACATGCGTTAGGTTTATTTGTTCCATGGGAGAGAGAGACAGTCCCCCCAACAAAGCTTTGATGCCATGATCTACCCCGCTTTAGCCAGACCCAGGTCGTGGGCACACCTGTGCTCAGCACCCTCAGGGAGGACTCTGGGTGTGAACCTGGAACCTTCCCGTGGGGGTCAGCCTGCAGAATGGTGTGTTGACTGCTGCACACACTTCTGCCACTGTCAGGTACCACTCATACTTCCTTTTAGTGTAAACTAATGGCAAAATTTGAGGGGGAAGGTTGACTTACACCAAAAGTGTAAAAGAAAATTTAAGAAAATTCTGGGGCCAGCAGGTGGCATAAAGGTTAAGGCACCGGACTCCCACATGGCATACTGTGGTTCGAGGCCCAGATCTGGAGGCTTGAGACTCATGCCAGGCACATGTGTGTGCATGCCCAATATCCCAGGAGGAGTATGCAGGAAAAGGGATCGTGATGTGGCCATGCCCCCTGGGGGGTGATTTCTTACTTTTCTTCTCAGTCTCTCTCTCTGGTGAGTGCATGTACCCCATAGCAAGAATCATTGAAGAAGAAGAAAATTCTGCCCATAAACTTAAGTTTTCTGTAATTCAAACCAGATTTTCATCATGTGGGTTGAGTGGAGGGGAGCCTCGTACCAGTTCCCAGGAACGTCATGTTCCAGGTGTGGTTCAGAGATTGGAGTACCATTACGCCCACTGTCACCTCTTCTGCTCTTCTCCCACTAGGGCGCTTTTCTGAGAGTGTTTTCCTTTCAAGCACCTGATAGACTTTTTTATTGTTTCGAATTGTCGGTGGGAAAGAAAACACGCTGTCGCCCTCACCACTGTGGCGTGGTCATGCTGCAGTTCCTTCTGCCAGGATTTTGGGCGTGCACACACCTGTGGCTGGCATGTTTTCGGGCCTCCAGGGCTAGGATTTGAACCATGGTGGACCATGTGGGATGTGCGCCCTTAGCCACCTGGCTACGGAGCCGCCCCCTGAAAGTCGGTTCTAACTCATCGTGTGTCAGGCTCGTGGGTAACAGGAACCTACTCACCCAGATGTCTGTCTCCACTGACTCACTCCTTAACACATAAGAACTACTTCTGTATTTAAAACATTTTCCAGTGGGTGTGTGCACTGGCCAGAGAGAGACAGAGAGGGGGAAGTGAGGGCACCCCCGGGGGATGGTCGCGCCGTAATCTCTCTGTCTCTCTCTCCTGTCGGGATTTTGGGCACACACGCCTGGTGTGTTTCTCAAGCTGCCAGGTTTGGGACTCATTTGAACCCTGCAGTTGGAGCCCAGCTGTCTTCACCACCATGCCACAAGCTGGTCCGATGTATTTTTGTGAGAGAGTTTTCTGCTTGCCTGTTTCATGAGAGCGGGAGTTCAGGGTGGTCCAGGAAGCAGGCCTGGGCCTCTCAAGCAACTCCCCCGTGCAGCAGTGCCCTCTGCCGGCACCACCACGCTGGGCAGTCCCCGTGGAGTGTCTGCTCTGCGGTGTTGCTCTTCCAGGTGTGCGTGGTACGTTAATGACGCAAATGAAGATCTCTGTCCCTGCGGGGCTTACATTCAGGTTCAGGAAGACAGTCAAGACAGTAAACGAGTTGGTTGTCTAGTAGGCTGGAAGGCGAGGAGTAGATGGGAGAAAAGGAGAGTGGACTAGGGAGGAGTTGGGAGTGACGGTGGGTGGTCGGCCTCAGGCACAGGCAGTGTTGGAGCAGAAACTGGAGGAGGTGAGGGAGTGGGTCATCTGGAGCTGAGTGGGAACACCTGGAGTGAGGCCCGCAGGGCCGGTCTGACCAGGTGGTCTGACCAGGTCGAGGGTGGCTACATCAAGGGGGGTGTAGAGCAAGAAGGGAGAACAGGGCAGGGAGAGCAGATCGTGAAGGGGCCTGGAAACTGGAGTGAGGCCTTAGTCCTAGGTCGTGGGTCTTCGCTGTGGGCAGAATGAGAAACTGTTTCAGGGTTGAGCTTATGTGGACAGCTGGCCATGGGGAATCCAGTGCCTTAACCTCCATGCCAGCTGCTGCTACCATCACTGGTTGGTAATGGGAGAAGTGCCAGTGCGGGCTGTCCCGCAGGGCTGCAGTTCAGCCCTGTGCAGGGGAAGCAGATCCCACATGGCCGACTAGGGTTCAAGTCCCAACTCTGGAGACTTGAGAAACATGCGGGGTGTTGTATGCACATGCTCATGATCCTGATGGGGCACATTTGGAGGCAGAAGGGTTGCAGTGTGACCAGGCCCTGTTGGGGTGCTCCTTGCCCTCACCCCCCCTCAGGTGCACATGTGCGCATGCACTCTCTGTCATTAAAAAAAAATCAAACCCAGAATATTTATTTTGATTGGCGTGAGCCAGAGAGTGTAATGGGCTGATGGTGGAAACCGGAGAGGAGAAATGCTGCAGCAAGGTCTTCCAGCAGGCGAGAGGGGCTGGGCTAGCGTGTGATTGGGAGGGCTCACTGGAGGGGCTGGGCTGGCGTGTGATTGGGAGTGTTCACTGGAGGGGGCTGGGCTAGCGTGTGATTGGGAGGGCTCACTGGAGGGGCTGGGTTAGCGTGTGATTGGGAGTGTTCACTGGAGGGGGCTGGGCTAGCGTGTGATTGGGAGGGCTCACTGGAGGGGCTGGGGTAGCGTGTGGTTGGGGGGGTTCCCTGGGGGGGGGGGGG